AATTAACACTTAGGTACAAACTAGAATTTCGTACAAAACGCTAAAAAAGAATGTTTCATTTAGGTATTCTGACGATTCTAAAGGAGAGTTTTAAGAGGATTATAGGATTCCAAGAAAATTAGAAGATTTTACAAAAATGTAAAAGGTGATCCATAGGTTTCAAGAAATTTTCAAATGCAAACCTATATCTCTAGTCAATAGAAAGAGCCTTAAAAAAGGGTAAAAAGATGTACTTACAAAATTTTTCTAAAGTGGACATTTTTTTAGTTCCCGAGATACTTCTAATCGCCTACTTAAAAACACCACCCTGTATACTAGAGGCACAACGTGGTACCCTTGAGGGCTACTTCTCCAAAAGTTGTGAAATTTACTTGCATTTTTTTTACAATCTTTATTAAACAATGATAGCACAGGATGAGTTTAAAAAAATTTCTTATGAGTTAAAATATTCCCTTGTTATTCCTTCCTTCCTTTTTTACAACAAAAATACTCTATTTAAATCATTTATGCGCCCCATTCGAGTAAATAAGTATGATACATAAAAAAATTCGTTAATCCGCTTGTAAGCAAGAGGGGAAGAGTGCACTTTCAAATTTAATTTTCCATTTTAATAGCCCTTATAGACAATTCATACCTTAACGAGAATACAAACGTGAAATAATTTTTTTATTATACCTGCATCACAATCTCCGTTTTAAACACTCAAATGCGTGCGAAAAAGGGCCTTTAAAACACACGTGCTTTAAAGTTGCTAAGTAACGATACTTCAAGTATGACTTTTGAAACTGTCATCTGGATGAAATAAAAAATCCTCTTAGGTCGCTTTCTGTAAATGCAGAACATTTCTTTGGCTTTTGTACCTATCCTTTGGTTGAAGCTTTCACAAACGCGCGTAATTTAGGGCATGCTTCCAAATCTGTTCCACTTTTTAATCGCAGCATTGCTTTAAAGTTTTGAATGAATGCACCAAAATATTGAAGATTTAAATACCTTTGACATTTCCTTCATATATGCTAGCATTATGGATGCATTTAAGACTGTATTTGTAAGTAACTTCCTATTCATCCATGGAAACAACTTTTCATATTCTTTATAATAGGCTTTACTGGATTTGGATTTTACACCTACCAGCGTTTGTTTAGATTTTACAACAATCGATTTAATGGACGGTGTATTATCTTTTTCAACGGAAATCGTTTAATTCACAAAGACGATGATTTTTATAAGCAAACGTCAAGTGACATTTCCATGGCAATCGTGAAATTACGAACACCCAGCCCACTTAATTAGACATGTATTCGAGTATAACGTCAATATGACTTCATTGTATTTCCTATTTTTAAATTATACTGCAGGTATAATAAAAAATACTATAAGATACACGTGTATAATTAGTCTTTAAAGCACTTGCAACGTTAAAGGCACTCCGCTTTGCGTCGTGCCCTTAATCTCGTTGCGCGTGCTTTAAAGACCTGATTATACACTTGTATCTTAATATACTATTAATTTCTGATCGAATGAGGCCAATACCAAGTCCGTAGGTGGTATAGTTCCGGAGCCTTTTATTAGATTTCTTTTTGTGGGCCGGTTTATGCCAGGCCTCCCACAAAAGAAGACATGATCTTGAGATCATTCAGAATTCACCAGTCACCACAAGCAATTGAATATAAGTGATACAAAACGCTACAAGAGAAAATTTAAGAAAAAAAATTGTGTTTGAAACACGAAGGAACTAATTTTGATCATGAGTTGAAGAAGAGGGGGTTTTAGAATAATGTAATTTTATTCTCCTATAAGTTTATTTTTCAATTAGTTTATTTGTTTAAAATTCGATTGATAAACAGCACGACCGACTGCTAAAAAGGAAATTGGCATCAATTCAATGAAATGGGAATAAGTCAGAGACTGTTAAAGCTAGCTATGCGAACATGTAATATCAAAATTATCCAACGTTCTCTATGAAATGCAAGTTAGAAAATGGTAATTTCATTTAGAAAAAACTGAGTTTTTAGTCTTTGTTCCGTTTTTAGTTTTAGTTTGTTAAGTCTTACACTGAAAGAAAGCGTCATCCAAACATCATTTTGGTCAAATAAAAAAGGGAAAATAATTGAGAGAAGAGAAAGAGTTTTCTATGCTCTAAATTCTTAAATTCCCTCCCAGATAGTAACTTAATTAAAGGTGTAATTGCCAAATATTTAATGATCCCGTTCCATTTGAACTTATCCAACACAATTGTTTATGATAAATGATGAGGTCATTGGTATAATGTATCATATACATGAATGTGAACCTATAAACATTTTTGGTAGTCCTAATCAAATTTTTATAACAGTAATGCAAACAGAGCGGCACATTCAAAACGTACCCAATTATTTTCGCAGCTCTTAGACAAACACATTAATTAATCGTTAATTGCTAATTGTTTAATGACACCATTTGGTTAATGCTATTGTTTATGATTATGTGTTATGCATGATTAGTATTATTATCCATGTATTTGAACTAATAATTTGTTTAGGTTATCTTAATGGGAATGGATTGCAATACAATCAAGAAATTCCAGTCATTGCGTTTGTTGTAATTTTCCAATTGTTTAAAAAATATAATCTGTCTTTCAACAGTTTTTGGATTCCGAGATTAAATACATGCTATTACACTTCACACTGTGGACCTATTGCTTAACCGTCGCGTGGTCTGGAATCTAAGATACATCAAATTTCTGGGTGAGAGATCCAGACTGCGTGGATATATCACTATCTTATGTAAGAATAAACGTACCCAAAATTGCAAAAATTCCACTTCCTGTCCCTTTTAGTTTCTATCTGTAGAAAGGTGGAAAGGTTTTCCTAAAAAAAATTGCAAATCATACTTAAAACGTTAGTATTATTGAATTATATTGATACAATTAAACTAATATACCTATTGAGAAACGTTCTTCAGTCACAGATATTGCTGGGGTTATGGGCAAGTAATGCGACATAAAGCACTGAACGCGTTTGAGACGCAAATCGTTTTTTCCTGCCTTGGAAACATTAGGGCCTGGTTCAGGTATCAGACATTCTGAAGAATTATTTTATAGTAGTTTAGAATCATTAAACTGAATCCCATAGTGGATTCGGTGTACGTAAAAGTGCAAACATTGGGCGCTTTCCTCCCATAATTGAAACTATGTTCAAAGAAAGGCTTCTGTGGAAACACCTTACTGCAATCATTTCTTGGTTGTTCAAAAATGAATTTCGTACGCTTTCACTAAACCTTTTTGACTTCACTATACAGGGTGGTGACTAGCGTAACGCATCATATGGATTTCAATGTAAAATTCATAACATGCGATTATTGGCTCCCCAAATTATTTTAGAGTAAAAATGTATTAAGGTTTTTTATAGAAAGAATTTTTTACGTCAATCAACAATAAATTTTTTGCTTAATAAAGACGGAAAATTGGAAAAATAAAACCCGCATCTTTTTCAATAATCTGTGATGCCATGGAATTTTATAATACAAAAACTACACCAATATCCGTCATGCCATGGAATGCCTGCTATTAAACAAATAAAATTCTATCAAAAAGTATTATATTTAGAACAGCGAATTCAACATAAAGAAAGACCAAATTACTATAAACGATTTTCTAATATGACAATTTACAATAAATTTTCAAATAAGTCACAATTAACTGTAAGACATTAACCAAGTCGATCATAAAATCCATTTCGAACTGCTCCTAATTGATAACTGGATACCTTTTTGTTTTAGAAAATTCCATGGCATCGCAGATTATTGAAAAAGATGCGGGTTTTATTTTTCCAATTTTCCGCCTTTATATGAAAAAAATTGAAAACTAATACGGCTGATTGGCGTAAAAATTTTTTTTTACAAAAAACTTTAATACATTTTTGCTCTAATATAATTTGGGGAGCCAATAATCGCACGTTATCAATTTTACATTGAAATCCCCATGATGCGTTACGCAAGTCACCACCCTGTATAGTGTAGTTGATGGAAAAATTTTGAATCTGGATTTGATCGTGTAGAATCCCGACCTGCTTGGTCTGAAAAGAATTTAAATCAAATTTTTACTGTTTAACATGCAAGATGGCCGTGACAATTGAGAAAAAAATAAAGATTGCCCGAAATAGAACATTATGTCAACATAAAATTTTTTTCCTCAATTGTCACGGATTTTCAAAAGTAAGAATGTGCTTGAAATTCTTTCCAGACCACGCAGACCGGGATTCCAAAATATTAAAATGAGATTCAAAAATTGTTGATCAATTACACGTATAGTGAAGTTAATCCGGGGACATCCTGTATATCTTACAAGCGATTCTCTAAAAATATTTTGAAAAGTTCCTGTGAAATAATTTCAGTGCACTACTTTTTCAGCGAAACAATTACTATGTGAGAAGCGCATTCTAAATTTTGAAAGTACGGCGTAAGTCCGTCTTTGGCTGCACTTAATTCGATTTTGCGTAATTGCTTAAAAAATGCAATCAAAGATTAAGAAAATCGGATTTCAAAGCTTTCCCGATAAATTTATTGTTGTATAAGAAAATCGAATCTGAAAGCCTTCCCCATAAATTTATTTTTGTATGGGGAAGGCTTTGAGATTCGATTTTCTTAATCTTTGATATCACTCAACCCCATTTAGAGGAACGATGGATAATGTTAAAAAAATGCAATGTCAGCCTACATTTTTGTTGTTTACAAATTCTAACAAATTACATGGTCAATCCATCAACAATAGATCAATACCGAATTTAGTGAAAGTTGAAGAGATTGAATATGAGGTGAAAGTAAGTAATCCACTAATCTGTTAATTAGGTGATTAATTGACGGGGGCGATTTTTGGTATTTAAGTAGAGGTACATGATAATTAATCACTCAGTGCACTTAACACTAACTTGAAGTACGCATCTACTGCATTACTTTTGTTTACTTTATGGTAAGTTCGATTATTTTTTAATTTGTACTTTTGCTAATTTTCTTTTTTTTATTAGATGGAGGTCAGCAACGATGTTTTGTCGGTGTTCAAGTGTCCACGCTGCGATTGCCTGATGCATCCGCCAGTGAGGATGTGCGTTCTGGGCCACTGCTTCTGCAACCGATGTAACGAGAAGAACCTGGTGTGTCCAATATGCAAGAGTGAGAAGTCTGCGGCTCGAAACTATGGTTTGGAACAGCTGTACGACAATTTCCTGTTTCGCTGTGAAAATGCAGGTGAAGGGTGTCCTTTTATTGGCGAAGGTGCTCTAACGAAAGACCACGAGATGTATTGCAGCTACACGATTCTCGATTGCCCATTGAAGCCATGCCGATGTACTTGGGTCGGTTCAATTAAGGATCTGTTTGATCACATGAGAAATCATCACCGAGGAAACACCTACGATATGAGTGAGAGGGTCGAACCGATGGAGATGTGCACCCACTTCGTTCCTGGATCATTTTACCAAGTGGTTATTCGAGCATTTTCCGAAGTCTTCTTATTCATGTGCACGATCAACTATAGCAGCTCTGCCATTAAGTGGACCCTCCTCTATTTGGGATCTAAAGAAAATGCTGAGAAATTCTATTACACAGTGGAGTTTGTGGACCCGCGAGATCCATTAAAGGTGGTACGTCTGAAATCAAATTGCCAGCTTCTACGTAATTTTTGTGACAATATGGATGTTAAGTGTGAGCTTCTATCAGACAGCGACGTGTTCCAGAAAATATTGGAAACTAAGCACTACCACTACATCGTGACAATAAAGGAGCATTGAGGATGTAACTAGTACTATCAAATGAAATGCGATACCAGTTCTTATTATTAAAATTAATTGTTGACCATCGTTACTTACGTAATGCTATGTATTCTAAGCTGTATTTATCAATAAAACAAAATCTTTTTTTGCTACCAGTCGTGCGGTTTCATTTTAGCCTAATTATAATTTGTGCCGCTAAAATATAGAGATCGCGATTGTTCCCTTGATCAGAAATGCAGAATTTAAAGTTAAGAGATCTGCACGCAAAAGTAGCTCGGCCAAAAGTTTGTGCGTACGTTGTTAACGGAAATTAAAAAGAAAAGGGTGGCCTCGCTTATAGAAATAATGGGATTATATCTATAGCGTTAAGTTTGTTTTAACAATGTCATTTACTTTGATAAAACATTGTATCAAATTATAAAAAGTGTCTGAAAAATTTTAAATTTAAAAATATTAATATCAGACAAGTAACACAAAGGGTTTTATAACAAAGCTCTTTTGTTCTGTGAAGAGAGATTCAGGTTAACTGCTTCTGCTTATTATACTTAATCCGAGATGTAAATTAGTTGTAAACGTACCCTCAGTATATAGCTACCTATTTGAACTGTTTTAAGCTGATCTGGGAATATTAGTTAAATGCCGCATATATTAATGTTGGTGAGTGACCTATGACAAGATGAAAACTATTGGTGAAAATATGGAAGCCGTAGGTTGGTAGGTATTTCTTTTAATACCGAACTTTTCACGTTAACCTACGATAGACATCAATTATTATCATCAATCCTGTAACCTGTTACATTGGTCAAGAGTTAAAATAGCACCCAATGCTTGCACTTGAAAAGTGAGATTCACCAATTGGAATTAGATTGCCCCTAAGGGAAAATTATGCACCACATATTGGATGAAAATTTTGTCTGGAGTACTACATTTTTCTTAAATACGCTTTTTATTGTATATCCGAAATCATAAAAAAATTCTACTAATCTATGTCTAAATTGTTGGGCAGTGGCGTACTTCTGCATTTTTAATGGCAACTACTAGTTTTCATTACATATTATTAAACTAAGGCTGTTAATACTACTTAATACACACTTTTCCTTATTATTCTTGTCACAATGTGGTTTAAATGAACATCTTGAGCCGCCAGCAGGAAAGTAGGTCTGTTCTAAATGAACATCTTGGGCCAGCAGGAAAGCTTCCAGCTCGACTCCTCTTTCGTGTGGTGGTGGCTTTCTTGACCAAATTATAATTATAATTGACTTATTTTAATTTTATTATTTCATGAATATGCCTTGAACTGTTCCAAAGTAAGTTACACTGGTTTAAGGATAATTTTAAATTACTAGCACTTAGTAAATGAGATCTGCAGTTAGATTCCTAATAAAACCATAAGAAATTATAGCATCTACAACACTAGCAACACTAGGGTTAGAAATTTTGGAGGTACGTGAACTATTCAAAATGTCTGTTAATTTTTTACGCTTTTTGGAAACGCCCCCTTAACTTTTGGCCATGAGTTGTCCTTTTCCTGGCGCCCAATTCTATACACCCTGTATATTTAGCCCATCTTTATATGTGTGGTATACATTTCCTATATCAAGCGTACTTAATCGAGACTATTTCACGATCCATATCGCTCTACCTTTATATAAAAATTCGTGTGATCAAATAACGGGGATTCGATTTGATTAACTCTTTAACTTGCCATCCTTCGTTTACTATACCTAATTTATATTCAATTTCGTTTTTATACAAAGTTTCAGAAACAAAAAAAAACATACTGTTTTTATGACGATGCTTCAATAAGGGACGCCGGATAATATCGAAAAGCTTTAGCACCTGTCGCATATCTATCTGAAAAATTACACCGTGGACATAAATATTGAAATGCTGCGGCTTGATGTATGAATTATGCATGAGCACTTTGAACATAAAGTTTTATAGCAAGCTTCATTGGGTAGACAGCGTATTTTTATATCTAACTCTTTGTTACAACCGTAGGGTAAAGTAAGATACTAATTGCAAAATAAACTCACTTTGTTATTTGACGGTTTTTAGTACCCCAATAGTCAAGTCCAATGTTCGGAATAAACCGAGCTCCGAGAAGAAATTCATTCAGTTCCAAGTGACAGTTATTGCTCATATTAATCTAAGTAAATTTTGGAAGTTCGTATTTTTGCCCAAGTGGAGAAAGTTTGTGCGTAAACGAATACCAGTTCCAAATTTGGATTATAACCATCTTATGTTAGTTTTGCTACCCTTAGCGAAAGTTGCGTGAAAAAAAATTTCCACGTAAAGGTGTCACCAGAGTGCCATTTAGTCAGGATTCAGGAGAGTAGTATTTACGTGAAGAAGCAAGTACGTATCTCTGTGCAAAAGTTCGAACAGTACAAATGTGTGCATAAAAAATTCACGTTCATACACCACCTAAGATAAAATTGCAATTGAAAAAACAAACAGCCGGTAAGAAATTAAAGTTTATATTCAATTCAATGATCAAACCAAAAAAGTTTACGACAGGTATTTTCCTACACGCTACTTATAAATTGTTCAAAACAGACATTGGAAAGTAAATAGATATGTTAGTGTTTTTTCTTTTTCCTCCCCAAAACAATGAACTGATCAATACCAACAACCACCGAAACAACAAACGTGTTGAATCAATTCCATTCCTGGAAATTGCAACCGGAGTCAATCGTATCCACCCTGTCGGACATTGAACATGCATCAAAGAAACCAGCTGAGATCATCCCCAAACGCATTGTATCATCTCTGTGAACCATCCAGGCATCCATGTCCTCGTAGAAATCACCAGAATAAAAATTAGGTGAGTTACGTAGTCTGTAAGGAATCGCCTTCACTCAACGGTTCTAGTATTTTTTGCTTTATGAAATTGGTTGTTTGAATTTTGTTAGTAATTTTTTTCTGTCATTTAGGAAATCCCTGCCGCCGTTAATTGGTGTGTTCCATTTGCAGTTTATTACTTTTTCCATTTTAAACAATGTTTAGAGCCAATGCACTAAAATATATTAGAAACGTGACTGTGTCTAGTGTAAATTTATAATGTGTGGTAATAGAAATTTACTAAATGCATGATGATACACCACTGCAATTAAATAAATAATCATCAGTCAAATTTTTTTGATTTTCGGGAAATTCAAACGGTTAACACTTCAAAAGAATCACCAGGTATATTATATAACAGCAATTTCAACGTCAAAACTTGAAAGTTACTAGGGGTCACCATAGTATTCACCTTCTTTTTTGCTTTTGGATGTTGGGATTTTGTAACAGATAAAAATCTGATCGAATAGATTTAGGTAATCGCGGGACATTGAAGGTAAGGGCATGATTTGCAAAAATAAATAAAATAAAATAATAAATAATAATAAAATAAAAAAGATGTCCGTCTGTCTGTTCTCCGTCTAACTCGAGAACGAAAAGAGACAACGATGTCAAACTTTCGTCAATCGCCGGATCAAAAGTCTGGTTTCCGAATAAGAACTGAGAGGCAAAAATTCCCTACTGAAAATCGTATGCGATTCTTCGTATCTTGTTTTTCAATTCAGAGATTTAAACCACATTTAGATATTCTTCGCAATAATGTTCAACTTTATATTCATATTCATATCACCAGCGAGCATGTATCTTTCACAGCTATTTAGGAAGTAGGTACTTATAGTAGGCATTATCAACTGCATTATCACTTTATGAACTTGAACTACTATCCTTGCAGCGGTTTTTAATAATGGGATTACATCGTATGTACTTATTTACATGATGTAGCTAATTTTTCGTAAAACAAAAGGTATAAATTATGTACCGAATGAATGTATCCTGCAGGATTGTTTACAAGAGCAAGGCACGCACGTAAATTAAGATCAACTTTTCAACTCGACGCGGAAAAATAATACACAAAACGATAAAACCGTGTAAATAAAAATCAGCCCGACCGGTAAATATAAAGTTCCCGCCGGAGTGGCTCCAGGGAACGGAAGTCATCTTTTCAAACAAACGGTAAGGCGAACGCAAACTTTTCTCTATGTATACCAACGGTTTTGACAAATCTACAAAAATACGCTAAAGCTGAATTCAACCGAATCCGCAAAGCTAGAGAGGGAAAACGTACAAAACTTCACTTTATATACGTATATCTAAATTGCTCGGAAACCGCCACCGCAGTTACGTTACATTTACTACACCTGAGGGAATGTTTATTGAATCAACTTTTATTGACTTCGAAATCTACTTCATTTTGTGGTTTCAATTAATTCTATCCCCTACTTTAAAAACCGAAATAATTCAGATTTGTTGCGGTTTTTGTTAGTGCATAGTTAGTAATGCGTATTTAAGTACATAACTATTTAGATAATTTCATAGCGGGAATGATTACCTAATTGCTAATAAATTCGACGGCTTGCGATTGTTTTATAAAAGAGATTTATTTGTACTATTTGCCCCTTTGAAAAATATTAGTCTAATGTTACCGAATTGATATCTGAGAATATACATGCACGAAGCGCTGCAAAGGTACCTACCTATATCAATAATGATTACATACTTCTACACTGTTTATTGGGAAAGAGGTTAAGTGGATGAGAAGTGTCTTTGTCTCCGAAAGTTTTTCAATCAATTTCAATAATGGTAGATATTAATTATTTATTTAGCTCGCGTCGTGGAGTACAGTAATGCCAGTCGTTGTGTTACAATAAAAAATCTAACGAAATAATTCCGTGCCAGGAAATCAGTCCAAATCCAAGATAACGGTTGAATTTTGTATTTTTCATTAAAAATGTATACAGGTCTTCATTTGAAAACTTCCCACCACGGATTTGTCGAAAACCACTGATTAAAGTAAAAAACACCGAGACACGTCAAAAGATTTGTCAAGGGGGACAAATTTTTAAGCTTAAACCACTTCATCCCCTTTCACCCACTGCTCCACAGGGTTATTTTCTTAAAAATTTTAAATGACCAGTAGTATTGAGTAACAGCTTGATTGAAACGTCTTTCGAAGT